CATAGTTGAGAATCTGGATGTCTAGTTATTATTGTAATAAAAATATTTATGTGAGCCCTAGCTGGTCTGACTCGGTTGGAGTGTCAGGTTGCGGGTTCAATTTCAATTGGGCACATACCCAGGTGCAGGTTTGATCCCAGGTTCGTGGTACTATAGGAGGCAACTCTAGTGATGTTTATCTCACTTTCCCTTCCTCTTTTTCTAAAATGTGTGTGTGTGTGTGTGTGTGTGTGTGTGTGTGTGTGTGTGTGTGTGAAAAAGGGGGTGGGGGGGGAGGCAGAGAGGCATAAATGAAGGTAAGCTGATGATATTTATTTTCTATTTGTATCCTAGAGATCCTAGCTAAGGGACAAAAATGCCAATTCATCTGCATGTATACATCATTGTGAGAACAGAATAGTTGAAATGTCAGTTTGAAGCATAGGGAAAATGTCTTTATGAATGTCAGAGTTGAGTTACCACTTGGGAAACTAGGGATTATTTTTCCACTTCAGTAAGTTTTTTATTTTATTTTTTTCACCAGTAGGTTTTATACACACGTTATATAGGTTGTAAAAGAATCTCTATAACTGAAGGTTTGCTTGTATTATATCAGAACTTTCCTAATGCCTGTTTCTATCACAGGTTTATCACAGGTTTTCAGAAAGGCAGTCATTTTTGCTTTTAAATTCTCTTTCATTGAATTGAAAAGTGCATTTATGCTGATTATTATTATCAGAGCTTAATGTGTTTTGTTTGTGTGTTTTTACTTTGATGGTATAAAGATGTATGTCTGACCTTTAATGGGAAAAGATACCAGGGCAGAGTTTGGGGAAAAGATGAGCTTGGTACTCTGAAATAAACCCAACCTAAGAGTTTCTGATGACTTCACGGCTAGTTGTTGGTTAGTGGAGAAAGTCTTGAAACCTTTTGGAGTTTGAATTTTGGCAGTTTTCTCCCCATCTTACTAAACTCTCAGACTTGCCTTTCTGCTGTCTTTACACACTTTCTCTCGGAAACTTATCTACTCATAGGTTTAATGGTTACTCATGTACTAAATAACTAGTATATCTGTATCCCTAGATTTTTTTACTATGTATTCAATTACTTTCTGGGAATATCATTACTACCTAATGATATTCAGCTCAAAATGCCTAAAACAATAATATACCTTATATTTGTATAAAGCCCTACTCCTATAACTTGTGTGAAAGTATATTCTGGTCAAGGGCGAAGCCTTGGTTATAGGCTCCTCTCCTGCCTGGGCCCAGGTCAGGGCTGGTGCAGGAGGCAATCAATTGATGTGCTTCTCTCACATCAATATTTCTCTTTGTCCTTCCCTGTCTCTTCCATTTTCTCAACAACAACAACAACAACAACAAAAAAAAAAAAAAAAAAAGGAAAAAATGCCCTCAGTGAGGATTAAAAAATTAAATAAATAATAAAGGACACTTGATGAAGTTTCTAAAGATCTAGAAGAGTGGAAGAATCTCACAGTCTGTCCTGATGGTGTACTTTTTTTTTTTTTTTTTAAATATTTTTATTGATTTTTTACAGAGAGGAAGAGAGAGGGATAGAGAGTTAGAAACATCGATGAGAGAGAATCATCAACCAGCTGCTTCTTGCACACCCCCCACTGGGGATGTGCCCGGAACCGAGGTACATGCCCTTGACCAGAATAGAACCTGGGACCCCTCAGTCCACAGGCCGACGCTCTGTCCACTGAGCCAAACCAGTTTCGGCTGGAGTACTTTTTGAAGGCCCAGTTTATGTTGCATGTCAGTTTGGTGTGGATGATCCTGACTTTGACTCTCCAGGGGACACCTCAAGAAGAACTGAGGATAGAATGCTTCAGTATTCCTAAGAGTGAAAACAACTCTTATCAGCTTATCCTCCCCATTTAATTATAGACAAAATATTTTCCATATTATGGGGAAAATCGCATGTACAGCTTGGCTTTGGTGCTAGTTGTACGCCAAAAGAAGTAATAGTCAAATGCAGGATTATTGGACCCCTAACCTGAAAAACCATGACGATTGTGACAGGTTTTTAGGACAAGTTATGTTCAAAATCACAATATATACATAATAGGAGTTAGACTCTCGCTACAGAGTAAATGTGTTGTCCTCATTTTGTATTAGCCAGAACTGGCATGCGAGAAGCATGAGTCCATCTTAGAGAAAGTGTGGGGTGGAACATGACATTGGGGTAACATCATGATGTGCTTTCTGATCACAGTGTTTAGTGTCCTCTGAAGTTACTGACTGTTGCCTCTGCAGCCATTTCGAGCTATTGTATGATCATCTCATAGGGCCTGTGAACACCTGATTCTGAACATGTAGAATGGAGGTCTTGTCCTATTTTTATGAGGTTTAATTGCTACATAAGCTTAATGTGCTGTGGTAGGTAAACATTTTATAAGTTGAACACGGGTTAACTGTCATACTTTTATGCCAGCAAAGTTTTAGGGATAAAAAGGCACCTGACTGACATGCAGTGACTTAATAGCTGAAAAAATAAAATGTGGTGTGTGGGGAAGTTCTGTATGTGAAAAAGAAAATAAAAATGGATTTAAAAGATTGCCTTGGGGATCAGGGGGTGAAAAACAAGGCACAGAGTGGGAGAAAATATTGCAGTGCAATCAACAATGGGATCATAAAGAATTACAAAATAGGAAGAAAAAGGCCAAAATAAATAAATAAATAAAAGAGTTTACCTGGCACTTTCTATACTAGCAATTAAAACAGAAATTGTTTAAATATCTATTAATTACTTTAAAATGTGTATTTTTTATTGATCTCAGAAAGAAAGGGAGAGGGAGAGATAGAAACATCAATGATGAGAGAGAATCATTGATTGGCTGCCTCCTGCATGCCCCCTTCTGGGGATTGAGCCCACAACCCAAGAAAAAGGGGACATCTGTAATACTTTCGACAATAAAGATAAATTAAAAAAACGCACACACAATAAAAACATCCTCGGGTGAGTATTAAACAAAAATTGTTAAGTAGGTAAAAGGTAGTTACTAACTACTAGAAAAGAATAAAAGAACTCTAAGGTACGTGGGACTACTTCTGGAACTGAGGGAAAAGTAATTGAGGACCCCCAGCTGAGACTCAGACCTGAGGAAAGAGGGAATTGCTACTTGCACATGCTGCTTGCCACCGTATTGGCTCAGAAACAGGGTGGAGAGCACTCAGCACAGAATTGAGTGCAGGAGCAACCCCCCACCAAGACGCCTGCATGCTGCTGATCCACTTAAGAACAGAAAGAACACCAAAAAATTCCTACTGCCAATTCCAGCCTCTCAGTGTCACTCTAGGGCCCTCTATTGGCAGAGTCTAACAAAGAGCCAAGGGTTCACTCTGGCTCCAGTAGCACCAAGAAGAGTGGCTTAGAGCAGAGAGGCAATAAATTAGTATCTGACACATACACATTTTAAAGTTCACCAATACCAAAATTAGCAAGATTGTGGCACAATGGGAACTCTCATATACTGTTGGTTTGAGGGTTGGGTGGTATAAAACAACCTCTTTTTAATAAGTTTGTTATATCCCTGGCCGGTTTGGCTCAGTGGATAAAGCATTGGCCTGCGGACTGAAGGGTCCCAGGTTCAATTCTGGTCAAGGGCACATGCCCCAGTTGCGGGCTCGATCCCCCATGTGGGGCATGCAGGAGGCAGCCGATCAATGATTCTCTCTCATTGATATTTCTATCTCTCTCTCCCTCTGCCTTCCTCTCTGAAATTAATATTTTTTAAATGCCCATACCTTTAAAAAACTAATAATAAAAGTTTGTTATGTACACCCTATGATCTTGGGATTTTATCCCTAGTCTTTTACAAAGCCCTGAGAAACTTTTGTATATGTGCAGCAATTTGATGGAAGAGAATTTTTATAGCAAAAGTATTTGTGGTAATGAAAATTTGGAAACAGCCCAGATATATATTGCAAACTTATTTAAGCCTTGGGGTATTAAATAAAATTTGGAAAACAACCCAGTAATTATATATTACAAACTTAAAGACAAGTGATACAAAGGGAAGATATTTATTATAAGTAAATAAAAAAGATAAGTTATAAAATTTTAAGAGATAGAGAGTAACAAGTTTTTAGAGATAAAATTTATCTCTAACTTCTGAATTTTAAATTATTATATTTTTAAGCTTCACTTGATACTCTTCCTATTGATTTTTAGAGAGAGAGGACAGGGTGGTGAAGAAAGAAAGATAGATTGACGTGGAAGAGACACATCAATTGTTTGGCAAGAATCTCAACCATGGCTGAGGATGAACCTGCAACCCTTAACTGGGAATTGAACCTGTGACCCTCTCTCTGGTCCACGGGCCAAGTTCTAACCACGATACACACTGGCTAGCACTACTTTTTGAGTTTTTTAAAGTATTACTAAGCCTTGTTGCCGAAACCGGTTTGGCTCAGTGGTAGAGCGTCAGTCTGCGGACTGAGGGGTCCCAGGTTCGATTCCGATCAAGGGCATGTACCTGGGTTGCGGGCACATCCCCAGCAGGGGGTGTGCAAGAGGCGGCTGGTCGATGTTTCTCTCTCATCGACGTTTCTAGCTCTCTATCTCTCTCCCTTCCTCTCTGTAAAAACTCAATAAAATATATTTTTAAAAAAATAATAAATAAAAAAAATAAAGTATTACTAAGCCTTGTCTTATTCTGTACTTATCAATTGATTTTTTTAGACTAGATTCTTTATTAGATTTTATCTTATTAGAGTCATTCTGTCTTTTGAGATGCTAGTTGTGTCAATGCATACCCTGCGTGGCCCTCTCAACTTCATATCCATCAATTAGTTCAGTGTGTTGTCCATGGCCTCAATTCTGTCATTCATAGAACTGAGTAAGAGTGCTTAAGATTTTAGTCCTAGACATGTAGAAAAAAGTTTAAAAATAAACATCAAAAGACTTTTGGAAAATAATTTTGTTGATAACTTTATTTTTAGATCTATAGTTTGAGATATATTAACATTTTTATCTAACTTTTTCTTTCTCTTTAGGGATCCATCTGTCTCTAAATCTATAGAACGAATCTTTAAAATCTGGGAGGACAGAAATGTTTACCCAGAAGAAATGATTACGGCATTAAGAGAAGCTTTAAGTAAGTGTCTTTTCTCTCCTGGAAGGAAATTTGAGTCATTGTTCACATTTTAAAATTGCATATATTTTGTAGATCTGGTCCTATTGCTTAATAATGAAATAGAAAGTTTTGGATCTGACCTTGTTTGTTTAAAATTAAATACTTATAAAATGCGAATTAAAATTTAAGTAGAATTGGTTTGGAGAGGGTGGATTTTATTTTTATTGACTGAAGAAAGTCAAGCATATTAAGTGATGATGGTCATTTAATTATTCCATTTGCTTTATATCAAGTGTTTAAACTAAAGTTTACTTTTTATGCTTAATAATTACTGCCCTGTCCTCTTACTGTTGGAGAATTTTTGGACTGGATTTCCGTTTTCACTAAGTATTTATATTAAGCATATATTGACATTCTTTAGTCTCTATTTTGGTTTAGATTTACAGTAAGTGGAATGCCTGTTTTTTTAAAAGTTATTTAGTTCCTATATGTTAGATGCATGTAAAGTCATGGAATAAAAGATGGTGATATCTTAAATCATGACTATTATTACTAGAAACTTGCTTTACAAATAGCAACCTCTAAGAAGCTGTTAAATTCTTCATTGGAATGTGTTAACTGGTATTTTAAAGCTTCCTCTCTTATTCTCAACATCAGTCATTTCATTGACAGTAAAAATTATGTTTATTTGACAGCTTCTTAGAGATCTGATAGGTGTTTTATTTATTTTTTAAATAAAAATGAAAGAAAAGGAAAGAAAGAAACAACACACAGTCTCGGATTGCCTTTTTTCGTGCTACAACTTTGACCCTGAAGTGGACAGACAGACAGCTTCCCATAATGCCAGGTTGCAAAAACTGAAATGTTTTCCAGGTACCACTTTCAAAACTCAGAAGCAGCTGAAAGAAAATCTGAACAAACAACCGAATAAGCAGTGGAAGAAATCACAAAGTAAGGAACAAAATCTCAACTAATATAAAATTAACTCCTCTTTTTGGAGCAGAAGAAAATGTAGACCATTTGACATCATACCTCGCATAAACTATGGGCAAGCCTGTGTTTTCCAGGCCTGGGAGGCTCCCAGTGACTTACACTAAACAAGCCATCATGGAGTTACTTCTTAAAAACAAAACAAAACAAAAACTACTTTTAAACAAAGAAAATGCAGGAAGAGAGTTTAAATGAGTGAAGATTCAAGAGTAGTTGAGGGATTGAAAGAAGAAAATAAACACTTGATAGTGCCAGGCTAACACTAAGGTTCAAAGATACGTGAAGTTAGAGGCAGCTGGCATTAAACAACAGAGCTGAAGAGGAGACTAGGCATTAAGAAGCATGTCTGTGGGAGCCATGAAATCCTTCAGATTTGGGGATACACTCTACCAGATTAGACATGGGCCTCAGATCAGGCCAGAAGCTTATTCTCTTAACAGGAGCTCCTGCTATGTTTATCATGTTTACCCAGCATGAGATCAAGGGAGTGGAATACTGCATGTGATAGGCTGCTGTGGGCCAAACAGGAATGTTGACCTGAAGGTGTGGAGGGAACAAGGTAAAAGACAGTGAGAATTGGGAGGTGAATCAAGACACTTGGGATGGTTTTGCTTCAGCAAGCATTTGATATTCATCATGATTAAGGGAGTCCTCTATCTTCCTTTTGGGCATAAGTTGCATGCTTAGGAACAACAGGAGTCATCATTTCAGCCAAAGTTCCACCACAGTGGGAATGTACTTAGAACTCTCTTTGCCTGTTTTTGCTATGAACTGAGTCACCAGAAAAAGAAATCTAAAGCTAAATACATAGGAATAGAGTTGATGTTTGTAAATAATTTTCTTCAGCCGGTGCTCAGAATTAATTGGATGTCCTGCTCCTTAACACTCTTATTTTGAAGTATTGAGATCCTCTTACACTCAGTCAGGCTAGGAAAAAAGGTACTTCATGTATCTCAGGATCTCCAAATCAATAATTCTAGGACTTTATGACTTAAAGGGCCTATTGGAGGTAAGTCACATGTTTTTAATCAGCTTAACAATAACCCACAACCTTCGAACCAACTTGTCACATGTTTTTATATTGACCATGCTTGGGCAGATTTAAATTTCATATTCCACTATTCTAGATATTATATTTAAATGTGCATGTTTGACATATGTTCAAAAGTACACCCTTAACTATAAGAGCTAAAATTTTTCTGAATATTAGTCAATAGTTTCTGTCTGTATTCTTAATGATGTTTTGTTTCATTCCAACAGCATCCACGAATCCAAAAGCTGCTCTCAAATCTAAGATAGTTGCTGAATTTCGAGTAAGTTACAGGATATATTGAACGTGGCCAAAGCATTATTCACCTTTTTTGTGTAATAGCTTCCTGTATAGTCCAGAAAGATTTATTTTTATTCAGTTTGTACATCAATTATATTTTAAGTTCTAAGGGAATCCAGATTGGGATCAGATTACTAAAAGTTTTATCTGTTTCCCTAATGGAAAAAATAACCTTACAGAAAAATCTGTTACAGGCTTAGTTCTGAATCCCCCAACTTGCGGTTCATCTTTCTTTGAAGATTTACTAAATTAGAATTTGTGTAGAGTTAGAATAATAAGTCTATGTTTATCTAATTAAAATTTAAAGATATAAGTGGACCTTTGTTTCATTTTTAACTCTATATCCATAAATTAGCTTTGAATAACCAAGGAAAATGATTTTTTTTTTTAATTCTTCACCTAAGGATATGTTTTCATTGATTTTAGAGAGATCAGTTACTTCCTGCAACTTATGTATGTACCCTGACTGGGAATCAAACCCACAACCCTTTTGGTGTATGGGACAATGCTCCAACCAACTGAGCCACCCAGTCAGGGCAGGAAAGGATCTTTTTAAAGTGTAAGACTAAAAAGAATATTTTGACATGAGAATTGATATTGATATCCCTGATTATGAGGAAATGTAAAGGGTTTTTCCCTCATGGGGTTTTAATAGGTTTTAGTGGGGAAAGATAAATAAGTCAGTGGTCTTGTGAATGAAATTTGACTCTGCTCTGTGTTCAGTCTCAGGCCCTCATTGAAGAGCTGTTGCTATACAAGCGCTCAGAAGATCAGATAGAATTAAAGGAAAAACAGCTGTCAACTATGCGTGTGGATGTGTGTAGCACAGAAACTCTCAAATGCTTAAAAGGTAATAACATCCTTTGAACAAGAATAACTTAGATTTTTTTTCCAGATCTGTCATTTTCAAGTGGTAAGACTGGCTTTTTCCATAAAGAGAACCCTTAGCTGAAACCGGTTTGGCTCAGTGGATAAAGCGTCGGCCTGAGGACTGAAGGGTCCTGGGTTCGATTCCGGTCAAGGGCATGTACCTTGGTTGCAGGCATATCCCCAGTGGGAGGTGTGCAAGAGGCAGCTGATCGATGACTCTCTCTCACCAGTGTTTCTAACTCTCTATCTTTCTCTCTTCCTCTCTGTAAAAAATCAATAAAATATATATTTAAAAAAAGAGAGAAAGAGAGAGAACCCTTAGTTGGTTGTAGAGAGCAGTTGTGCCAGCTCTGGTTTCCCAGGTAGTGATTATATGCATATACATTTCATAAGTAAATTTCTGTCCTTCACCTGTGCACATTAAACTCACACAGTATTATATGTCAATTGTATCTCAAGAAAGCTGGAGAAAAATAAGTTTAAAAACCCAAAGAAATAAATTCTGTCATTTTCCCCACTTCTGGTGCTTTCTTGATATATTAGGTTATATATAGGCAGGTATATTTCATATTGTGTGATTAACTGGTTTGGGTATGCTCTTTAATACCGCCACTGTAATGCCTCATAAAATCTAGTTAGTTGCTCTTTTTTCCTTACATTGTAAATTATAAATAATAGTTTTTGTTTTGTTTTTGTGTGTTAATCCTCACCTGAGGATATTTTTCCATTGCTTTTCAGAGTGGAAGGGAGGGGGGAAGAGAGAGAGAAAACAAAAACAAAACATTGATGTGTGTGAGAGAGATGCATAGACTGGTTGCCTCCTATATGGGCCCCAGTAGGGGGAGGTGAGCAAACCCACGACCCAGGTATCGTCCTTGGAACCTGTGACCCTTAGGTGCTTGGGCTGACGCTCTAACCACTGAACAACCACCCAGGTAATAAATAATATTAATACTTTATCATAAAATAAATCTCATGATGGTAGAAACTATCCTTTGTACTTTAAATATATACATATACATACATACATACATACATACATATATATGTGTGTGTGTGTGTGTGTGTGTGTGTGTGTTGTTGTTGTTGTTGTTGACTTCAGAGAGAGGAAGGGAGAGGGAGAGAAATAGATAGAAACATATGTAATGAGAGAGAATAATCTATGGGCTGCCTTCTGCATGCCCCCACCTTAGGATAGAGCCTGCAGCCTGGGCATGTGTCCTGACCAGGAATCAAACTGTGACCTCCTGGTTCATAGATCAACGTTCAATCACTGAGTCACACTGAGTGAAATTATCCTTATTTGTTCACTGCTGTATCCAGCCTAGAGCGATGCTTGGTTCATAATAGGCATTTAATAAATATTTTTGAAGAATGAGTAAATGGCTACTAGATATTCATTTGGCCTTTATTTTGTTATTGTACCATGCTTTAAATTTTAACATGTTAGTTTTGCACAGTGGCAGTATCATAGCCAATGGGGTTTATCCAAGGCACGATTATTGCTAATTGAATAAATAAATAAATAAATACATTAATTTAACATGTTACTGAATTTAATCCTCATAACAACGCAGATGTATATTAAAAACTTCCATTTTATAAGTGAGAAATTCAAGACTTCATAAGGAGATGAGTAGCTTGCCTAAGTTACACAGCTGATGAGAGACAAAGCCAAAATTTGTGCCCATTTAAAGTCATATTCCTACAGTCATGGGGAAAGAAGTATACTTAGAAGTGTAGGTAATAGTTTGTAATGTCACTATTAGTGTGTGTGTGTGTGTGTGTGTGTGTGTGTGTGTGTGTTTAATCCTCACCTGAGAATATTTTTTTCCATTGACTGTTTTTTAGAGAGAATGAAAGGGAGGGAGGGGAGGAGGAAAGAAAAGAGGGAGGCGGAGAGAGAGAGAAACATCGGCGTGAGAGAGAGACATCAATTGGTTGCCTTCTGCACATGCTCCAGCTGGACCGGGGATCATCAACAGCCTAGTTATGTGTCCAAGACTGGGAATCAAACCTGAGACTCTCTGATGCTCAAGTCAATGCTCTAAGCAGCCAGGTCCATAATGTCACTACTGATGCAAAAATAATTGAGGGTTTGTACTCTTCTGATATGAAATTATTAGAGATCTTCAAAGAAGAAAAAAGAATTTTTAGTGTGATTCAGTCACTTTATCTCTACTTTTCTGAACCTTAGTTTTTTCATGTATCATACATTCTAGAGGATTAAAAATTAATGGTCTAAGTCGGGTGAGGAACATTTAGCACAAGAAATCATTTGATCTGCCATTGCCAAGGCAGTAGTAGTGAGTGAGTTCATTAAATGTTTGACCAAATATAGCAAGCTAATTTTTAAGTTGGTAATTGTGTATGGCCCGTAAATGATATCAATATCCATATGGCCCTTGGCAGAAAAAAGGTTCTCCACCCCTGGTCTAAGTAAACAGAATCAAGCCTCATCCCATTATTCCAAAGTAGTAGAATGGTAACAAATTTATAAAGAAAATTAATGAACTTTCTTTTAGTTGGACTTTCTTTTGTTTACTGTAATTTTTGGTACCTTCATGATGCACTATTGCTTTTAACTCTAGCAGATTCACATGAATCGTTTCAATAATTTGTTTTTGTGATTTGGAGAAACTTTTTTTTTTTAATATATATTTTATTGATTTTCAAAAGAGAGAAAGGGAGAAGGATAGAGAGCTAGAAACGTTGATGGGAAAGAAACATCGACCAGCTGCCTCTTGCACACCCCCCACCGGGGATATGCCCGCAACCAATGTACATGCCCTTGACCAAAATTGAACCCGGGACCTTTCAGTCTGCAGACCGATGCTCTATCCACTGAGCCAAACCGGTTTCGGCTGGAGAAACTTTCTAAATGTGAAACTATGAGACTAAGAATATTACATATTAAGGCAGTAAGAATAGGTTCACTGATCATCTGGAGGGGGGTTTTCTTTTAACATTTAACATGTTACTGGAGGGGGGTTTTCTTTTAACATTTAACATGTTACTGAATTTAATCCTCATAACAACTCAGTAAAACCCCCCTCCAGGGGTTTTAAAACCCCTGGAGGGGGGTTTTACTCAAAAGTAAAAATTTGTTTACTTTTTCTTTTTTATCTTGAAATGAATACTTCCTCTGTTATTTTAGATAAGACCGGTGGGAAGAAGTTCTCCAAAGAATTTGAGGAGGCAAGCGCCAAGCTGGAGGAATTTGTGAATGGATTAGATAAGCAGGTGAAAAGTGGGCCCTCACTCACAGAAGCACTGGAAAATGCTGGAATTTTCTATGAAGCACAATACAAAGAAGTAAAAGTGGTGGCCAACGTAAGTAGTAATTAGAGCTATCATATTGATTGGTTACTATATGTCAGTGACTGTTTTACATGTGTTACCTAACTCAAGGAGGATAAACATTATCTCCAGTTCACGGATGAAGAAGTTACTTTTGAAGAGATTTAGAACCTTGTGTAGGTAATACTAGTATAGCTACCAAGTGGTGGAGTCTAAATTAGACCTGGGTTTTTTTGACGCTAGAGCTCATGCATACCTTGGTTATTATGCCTTATGTCTTAAGATTTCAAAGGGAGTATGTCAAGTTACTATTACATTATATAAAAGTAGGCTGAAATATATGTAGAAAACTAGATGGAAACGTTCTGTTACTAAATTTCATGTAAATTGACTGCCTTAAGGACCCTCTTTGTCCCCGCCTCCACTGAAAGGAAGTTGGTAATTGGACATTTGTCTAATGACCTCTGAAATTGTCCATTTTGTACTTTTTTTTTTTTTTTTTTTAAGTTTTAAGCACCATATGTAAAAGCATATAGTATTTATTATAGAGCCCACCAGTCCCACTTCCTAGAAGCCATTCCTTTTACCTCATTTAACTTTTTCTGGCATTTGCCTCCATATTTCTAAATTATATGCCCATATTGTTCTTTGTTTCATCCTATTTAAGAAAGATCTTTTAACTACTTGATATGACAAATGAGGATTTAGCTTATATTTACCAGGCTTCCACTTCTCTTCCAATATTATTATATAACTGTTTTAAATCTTTATTACTTTTTTTTTAAATAAATATATTTTATTGAGTTTTTACAGAGAGGAAGAGAGAGGGATAGAAAGCTAGAAACATTGATCAGCTGCCTCCCACACACACCCCATTGGGGATATGCCCACAACCAAAGTACATGCCCTTGACCGGAATCGAACCCGGGACCCCTCAGTCCGACACTATCCACTGAGCCAAACTGGTCTCGGCCTTTCTTATTACTTTTGTAAATGGAAGTACAGTTGCCTCTTAAATACATGGGGTTAGGGGTGTTGACCCTCATTCCCTGTGTGGTTGAAAAACTATATATAACATTTGACTCCCCAAAAACTTAACTACCACGCAGTCATTTCTCAGTATACACTGGAGATAGTTCCATGACCCGCTGGGGATTCCAAAATCTGCAGATGCTCGAGTACCTTATATAAAATGACATAGAACAACACATCTGCAGATTGAAAGTACTGTTATTTGTGGATGGGAAACCTGGGGGATACAGAGGGCCAATGGACTCATAAATGGATCTGTGCAGTTCAAACCTTGTTGTTCAAAGGTCAACTGTACTATATTATTTTTTATTTTTTGACCGCTAACTCTAGACTTCCTGCTTTATAAAATGAAGATATTAACATCCTCTCCTTTCCCATTAGTTTTCATCTGTTCAGTTTTCCAGCTTCAGTGAACTATACTTTACTTACTGTTGTAAGGTTGATAATATTTACATTTCATTCTGTAATCATAATTGTCTTCCTTGTTTTAAAGGATGGAAATTAATAGATAAAGCTTACATTATATCTGTGTAAATATTTGTTCACTGAAAGGTCTATGTTAACTATGGATATATTAGAAATATTTGGCTTTTTATAGAATTTCTTTTTTACCTGCAATTTTTGCCTTTTCTTCCCCCACTCCCTGCCCACCCTCACCCCCATCACTTCAGATATTCTGAATACATTTTCCCCCAAGGCCTTTCTGCCTAAACTTCCATTCTCCTGCTCCAGTTTTAGGTCTCTAGATCTCATTTTAGGATTAGTTTTTACTGTTATTCTTAGATAAGCCCTTTATTTTGAAGATTTGTGTCTTTTTTTTTTTCTTGATATTTTCTTATCTTGCTGGAGCACATCCTCAATAATTTTTTTTTTAATTTATTGCAAGAAAAATTTCTGAATCTTTATATCTAAAAATGTCTTTATGCCGAAACCGGTTTAGCTCAGTGGTAGAGCATCGGTCTGCGTTCGATTCCGGTCAAGGGCATGTACCTTGGTTGCGGGCATATCCCCAGTAGAGGGTGTGCAAGAGGCAGCTGATCGATGACTCTTTCTCATCGATGTTTCTAACTCTCTCTATCCCCCTCTCTTCCTCTCTGTAAAAAATCAATAAAATATATTTTAAAAAAATAAAAATGTCTTTATTCTGTTTTCACATATGCTTTGATGGTTTGACTGGCTGAAGAGCATTTTCCTCAGAGTTTAGAAGACATTTCTCCATTGTCTTTAGTGTTGTTGCTATGAAGTCTTTGCAAGATCCTTTGGGGATGACTGTTGTTTTTTTTGTCTGTAAGCTTTTAGGGACATTACCCATGGTGTTCTGAAATGTTTACAATGATGTATCTAAATGGTTTTCATTCATTATGGGTTACTTGGTGTGCTCTTTCAGTCTAGATTGGTATTCTTCAAGTCCAGGACTTTCTCTCTTTTCCTTTATTTTCTCTCTATGGAACATTGATTAATCAGATGTTGAATCTCCTTAGGTTGATATTTAATGTGTCCTCTGTTATGTGTCTAAACCTTGATCCTTTTGGTTTGCTTTCTGGAAGATTTCAACTTTATCTCCCAGCTTCATCTCTTCATATTTTTATGTTTGACAGTCATATTTTAAATTTCTAAGAATTCTTTTTTGTTCTGTGTTCTCTTTTTTTATGGCAATCCTTTCTGATTTTATGGATATCATATCTAATGTCCATGAAGATATTAAAACTTTTTTCTCTTCCTTGAATTGTCTTCTTTCCTGGTAGAGCCTTTTATTTTATTTCCCCTCCCTCCCCTCCTAGTTGTCTTAGTCTTTCTCTTTTATGACTTTAGCTTTCCTCAAAATTCATGTATCTCTTTGTCCATTCCTATTTAAGAATGAGTTATGAAAAATATACTGAGGGGCTTTCTGTCCATAGGTAGGGATTCTCTACTTCTTGGGTTTAACCATTAAGATCTGTGTAGGTGAGGAGCTGGCTGTTATCTGGGCAGGAGGAGCTCTAAACGTGAGAAGGCTGGGGTCTTTTTGCCAGGACATCGTTTGCCCAGAACATAGTGCCTTGACTACTACCAAGTGTGAAGGCTGCAGAGGAGGTGGTGTGAGTGTTTGGCATTCACACTTTTAATGAATTGTCCTATTTTTAAACCCACTGCTTAACTCCTCCACCCTTTTATACTCATCATTTTCTGGATCAAAGTTTCTCAGGGATTCTGCAAGACAGATTTGCTCCTTTCCCAGGTGTAGCTCCCTTTCTGTATACTCCTAAACTCATTTTTCTCCACCCTGCCTCATCACTTCTCACTCTTCTATTCACATTCTGTCATCTGAAAATCTGTAGAAATTTTTTTCTCAGGTATATTTCTTGTTGTTGGTTATACCTTTGTATTCATTTATTTTTCATTTTATAGGAGTCTCAGGAGGGAGAAACCATGAATGGGAATGGTCAGTTCATCATTTGACCCAAAAATATTTTATAATTTTTGAATAGTGACCTATATTCCTAGCCCCTTATTTATAGAATCATATAAAGTCATTTAGTCTGCTTTGGAGGCTATTAAAAAAAAACCGGCTTGATGAGGTGTATTAAGCAAGCATTTATTGAACACTTATTCTGTGCCAAGTATTCTGTAATACAGAGAAAAGAGACATTGTTCTCACAAAATTCTTTTGATCTGAGGGAGAAAATACAATAAAACACATCGTTGCAATTTTGTGTAGTAAACACTATAGTAGAGGGTACTATGAGAATAGATTGAATTGGTACTTTTATCTAATTTGGGACTGGAGGTAGAAGAGATGAAGAAAATTTTTTCCAAAGAAGCTGAACTCTGAAATTGCAGTCATTAGATAGATGAAAGCTCATAATCTCTGATGAGCATTTTCAAAAGTGTGGGAACAGAAGAGAACATGATAAAACTGGTAGACCTGAGAGCAGTTTCTGATAACTGGGCTTGTATGAGGAAGCAATAAAACTGGAGAGGTAGTTAGGAACAAAGTTCTAAGAGCAGTAGAAGACAGTTGTGAGATTTAACTTTTTTTTTTAATTTTTATTTTTTTACTGTTTTTATTGATTTTGGAGAGCAAGGGAGAAGGGAGAGTTAGAAATATCAATGATGAAAGAGAATCATTAGTTGATTGCCTCCTGCATGTCCCCTACTGGGGATTGAGCCTGAAACCTGAGCATGTGCCCTAACCAGAATTTGAACCAGGTTTATGGGTCAGTGCTCAACCACTGAGACACACTAGGTGGAGATTTTACTTTAAGTTCATAATATCCTATATAATAAAAGCTCAGCGACCCAACAGCAGGACGACCCAATCAACCAGTCTCTATGATGCACACTGACCACCACAATGCAGGAGCTGCACCCTGGTGGTCAGTGCGCTCCCACAGCTAACCTCCCGTGGTCCGCCCCTCCCCGCCCCCCCAAGCTGGCCAGTCTGGGAGCTCTCAGGGCATGTCCGACTGACGGCTTAGGCAGTCAGACATCCTTAACGCTGCTGCGGAGGCAGGAGAGACTCCCGCCACCACTGCTGTGCCTGCCAGCTGTGAGCCCAGCTTCTGGCTGAGTGGCACTCCCCCTGTGGGAGCACACTGACTACCGGGGGACAGCTCCTGCGTCAAGCATCTGCCCCTTCATGGTCAGTGTGCATCATAGCAATAGGTGGTTCCACCAGACAATTTGCATATTGGCCTTTTATTATATAGGAGGATTTGTCTATATGTATTGAAAACCATGAGTTTACACTGTTGTCTAATCCCAATCCAACACGCAAGGTTTGTTCTAGTTTTCTTCCTTCCCACGTTTGTATTGCCTTTTTTAACAGTGTAAAGCCTCGCTCCCTTTGTCTTCACTATAATCACTTATTTGAGCAATCCCCTTGTGTGTAACCAGTCTCCCACAGGTCTCTCTCTTCCCCAATCTCCTGGCTGGGCTTTCTCTTTTTCTTGCTTGGGCTTCCTTTTCCTGTGCAATGCCATTCTCCCCTGAAGACATTTTTTCACCCCATTTTGGCCGAATTTTCTTATACTTACATCAAGCTCCAGCTAATGGGTTTTGGGTTGAATTGTTCAAAAGGGAAGGAGGGGGATTTTTCTCTATTTACTTGAATATATAAAAGAATAGTTGTTGGTTTTTGTCAGATAATTAAGTATTGGCTTTAACTGTTCTGATTTTGTCTCCGGTGCCTGTTTTTTATTTTAGGTCATTCGGTCCTATATCTTGGCATGCCTGCTGATTTTTTTATTGAATGCTAGACATTGTATGTGAAAGTGTTGTGAGTCTCTAGATCAGTGGTTCTCAACCTTTCTAATGCCGCAACCCTTTACTACAGTTCCTCATGCTGTAGTGACCCTCAACCATAAAATTATTTTCGTAGCTACTTCATAACTGTAATTTTGCTACTGTTAATGAATCTTAATGTAAATATGTGTGTTTTCCGATGGTCAAATATATGGTGACTAAAGGAGACTTGACTTTGTGTGATGAGCACACACTGCAATACAAAATGATGAATTATGGACTTGTACACTTGAAACTTAATCTTTTTCTCTTTTAGGCATACAAAACCTTTGCTAATCGAGTAAACAATTTAAAGAAAAAACTGGATCAATTGAAATCAACCCTTCCTGATCCAGAAGAATCACCAGTTCCTTCCCCAAGTATGGATGCTCCCTCCCCAACTGGTTCTGAGTCTCCTTTTCAAGGAATGGGAGGTGAGGAATCCCAGTCACCAGCTGCAGAGAGTGAGAAATCTGCCACACCTGAGCCGGCAACAGATAATCGTGATGTGGAAGACATGGAACTCTCAGATGTAGAAGATGATGGGTCAAAAATTATTGGTATGTCTTTATGAGATTAGTAGGCAACTTGTTCCTTATCTGTTTTACTTTTTCACCAATAAATCTATCATAGGCAGATGTTAAAGGATAGTTTACCTCTGGCAGGGAAGCTCAGTTGGTTAGAGCATCATCCCAGTACACCAAGGATGTAGGTTTGATCCCCCACAGGAATCAATGAATGCATATGTAAGTGGAACAACAAATTGATCTCTCTCATAAATATCATTAGTGAAAGATAGAACACACCTTTTGCCTCGTTGCTACCGAGTGAGCAAGATGGGTCACCAGCAACTCTCCTGGAGCCACCCGAGGAAATTCGGCTCTCGCTCTTGCCGTGTCTGCTCCAAGCGCCACGGCCTGATCCGGAAGTACGGCCTCAACATGGGCCGCCAGTGTGTCCGCCAGTGCGCGAAGGACATCGGCTTCATTAAGTTGGACTAAAGGAACTTCCGTGAATGGGTCATTGAAGACATCTCTCTACCTTATGACAATGCTCTCTCTTTGTACATAAAATTAATTAAAAAATAACACAACACTTTAAAAAAAAAAAAAGATAGAACACAAAAGTGTACCCAATAATAACATGTTTCTAGAAATGTACAAATTTAATACACAGATGCTAAGAAGATGCAAATAAATCATTAAAAATAAGATAAAGTAGCCCCAGCTGGTTTGGCTCAGTGGTTTGGCCTTTGGACTGAAAGGTCTCAGACTCGATTCCAGCCAAGGGCACATGGCGGGTTGTGGGCTCAATCTTCAGGAAGGGCCTGTAGGAAGCAGCCAATCAATGACTCTCATTGATGTTTCTCTCTCTCCCTTTCTCCCTTCCTCTCTGAAATCAATGAAAATATATTTTTTAGAAAAAAAGATAAAGTATAAATTTGGGAAATTCCTTTTAAGCAAGTGTTGAAGTCAGGAAGGATCATAAATTGTAAAGAGTGGGGCTTTTAAAGAAATCATGAAGTGAGTGGTTTTCTATAAAGCATAGTGCTTTTTTACTCCCAAATCAGGAACTAGTAGGACATGCTGTTTCATACTGGAAGTAGAATCTGGATAGTAATAAGATGCACTAATGCTTGTTTTCTTTGTTTAAATAGTAGAGGACAGGAAGGAAAAACCTGTGGAGAAGTCGGCTGTATCCACTTCTGTACCTACAAAGCCAACAGAAAGTATCTCAAAGGCCGCTTCGTGTACCCCAGTGCCTGTGACCATGACAGCAACCTCGCCTCTACCAAAGCCTGTGAATACTTCTCTTCTTTCCCCTTCTCCAGCATTGGCTTTGCCAAACCTGGCTAATGTGGATCTGGCAAAGATCAGTTCCATCCTTAGTAGCCTAACATCAGTCATGAAAAATACAGGTAAGCAAGCCCAGTAAAGAGGATAAAAGGCTGACTTGCATCATTCTACTTGAACCTTCAGTCTTTTTTCTGTTTAATTTTTAAAATTAAAAGTAATTTTTTAAATTTACCTAAAAGTGGTATCTATTTATCTCTCTATATAAAAGCCTAAGTGACCATTAAAACCGAATAACCAGAACTGTTTGACTAGTCGCTATGATGCACACTGACCACCGAGGTGCAGATGCTCAATGCCAGGAGCTGCCCTCCAGATGGTCAGTGTGCTCCCACAATAAATAAATATAATTCTATCTCAAAGAAAATCACTTGTATATACTTTACCAAGTGTGTGTGTATCTGAATGTTTTGGGAGATTAAATCTTTATAATAATTGTTCTTTTAATAATTGAAGCATATTGCCTATACTGTTTTGAAACCAGCTATTTAAAATTCTAACTATATAGTCTTTTATTACTTATTTAAGCCTATTAATTATTAGACATCCAGTATGTCTCCAGTTTTTCACGAACAACCATGATGCTAAAATTTTATGCAGAACCCTTTCTATAAGGGTTGATGCATATATAGGGCTTTTTTTTTTTTCTAATGGAAATTTTAATGAGTATATAGAGTACCTCCACATACTCATCACTCATCTTCAATGATAAAAACACATGGCCTACCCAATCCTGATTATTTTGAAGGAAATCCCAATTATTTCATTTTTTCAAAAGTACTTAAATATATGATTTCTAAAAGATAAATTCTCTAAAAAATCATCACTTAGATTTTTTAAGTCTTTTCATGTTATAATTACAATGATCTCCAAAAATGTACTATTTATGTTTCAGGTACTATATAAAAGTCCCCGTTGTGACGCAGCTTCTCCAAAACTATTTTATTTTGTTTTAATCTTTATTAAATTCAGTCTTTAAAAGTCGTTTGTTTTAACTTACATCCTTTTGATTAAAGATGTGGTTTAAATATTTTTCATTTGCTTATAATGTTTTGTGTGAAATACCTGTTCATATTTTTGATCATTAAAAAAAAATCAAAAATTATTTTATCTTTATATACTTTTTCTCTATATTAAAAATTGGTTCATTGTTTTAAAATATAGAAGTATAAAGGAGGTTGCTAATATAATCTCATTTTATAGACCATTTCAAAAGCAAAATCTTATTAATCATATAAAATTATGCTGTGGCTGAGTTATACAATTGCAGTGGCTTTGATCAGAATCAGTCAGCAATATTTGGGGGGCACCTACAGTACTCTGAGGTGTAGGTTTCATTTCATAGAGAAAAAAGAAATAGATTCCTTAGTCTCTTTCTGTTGAAGCTCTCAAAACTAAGGGAATTGCATATGAGAAAAACAATATTTGTTTATTTTAGGGGTGCTCCAACTAGATGGAAGCAAATCTTCATCTAATTTTCAGATTTGGGGGGGCGGGTACAAGCCATGTTAAGGACCATTTGTGAATCAGTCATAGAAAATTTTTGAGTGACAAGTATGGATTTAAAAGTCATTTTGAGTTGCATTTGCTTGAGTTAATCTTTCTGCCACCAGGGGTCAGTCCTGCATCAAGACCTTCTCCAGGAACTCCTACGAGTCCTAGCAACCTCTCCAGTGGCCTGAAAACACCTGCCCCTGCCACGACAACATCTCACAACCCTCTGGCAAACATCCTCTCAAAAGTGGAAATCACCCCAGAGAGCATTCTGTCTGCTCTTTCCAAAACCCAGACTCAGTCAGCCCCTGCCCTGCAAGGTAAACTGACACGCAGAGGGACTAGAACTGTCTGTGCTTGTCTCTGGGTTCCATTTCTGAGAAAAAAGAAAAAAATCCAAAGCCATGAAATATATAATATAGTTGATTATTTTCTTTATATTTATCCTCTGTGAGCTGGCATTTGTAGTATTATGAAGAATCAAAGATGAGAGAGACTTTAAATGTCATCTAGTCTAATCCCCTCCTTTTCAGGTGAGGAAATTAAGGCTCAGTGAGGTGATGTGACCTGCTTAAGGTCACACATCCACCTGTTCAATGATGAGCCAAGACTAAAAGCCATATTTCTTGACTGGAGTCCGGTATTCTTTCACCTACACCATGACACCCTAGGGGCTGCATTTATCCCAGCTCTTAGTACAGGTTAGTATATGTTGAGGTTTACATATTTTAATGTTAACTGAAGCTGAAGACGGTAAAAAAGGTCAGTCTGCTATCAGATATCTTATGAGATATGACTGTCTCATTTATGTCCTAATGTTTATAGAGGCCTCTATTTATAGATATGTAGTGAATCTTTTTGGTTTTACTTATATATAATCTCTACCATATTTGAACCTCTCTTCAGTTTTGCTAATTATCTGTGTTAGGCCTAAAATTGTTCACTTCTAACATTTTTCCCCCCCATAAACTTCCCTGCTCTCTATTCCCAGACCCTTCAGCTACCAACATAAGTATCTCAGTATAGTTGTGCATTAATTACAAATACCAGAACAGTATCTTTTTAGTGATTTACTCTATATCACTAGATCTCAACCAGGAAACTCCAGGGGATATTTGCCAGTGCCCTAAAGGTGTTTGTTATAACTGGGGTGGATAGAGATGCTGCATCTAATGCATGAAGGCCAGGGTAGCAGCTGAACATTCTCCAGTGCACAGACAGCCCCAGCAATAAAGAATTAGCCAGCCCCAAATGCCAGTAGTACTGAGGTTGAGAAATTGCTTTATATGAATAGAGAACATTACAGGTATCATTTTTATTTCCTAACTCTTCTGTAAGTGGACCAGCCAAGCACTATGTTATAGTGAACTTTGTCTTAAGATATAGGAGAGTGTTAATACATTGAACTAAATACAATTTTTAAAATATTTTTTATTGATTTTTTACAGAGAGGAAGGGAGAGGGATAGAGTTAGAAACATCGATGAGAGAGAATCATCGATTAGCTGCCTCTTGCACACCTCCTACTGGGGATGTGCCCACAACCAAGGTACATGCCCTTGACCGGAATCGAACCTGGGACCTTTCAGTCCGCAGTCCGACGCTCTATCCACTGAGCCAAACCAGTTTCAGCTAAATACATTTTTTTAAATTGATTTTTAGAGAGGTAGGTTGAGAGGGAGGGAGGGAAGGAGGAAGAGAGACAGAAACATCGATGTGAGAGAAAAACATCGATCAGATGCTTTCCACATGTGCCCTGAATGAGGATCAAACCCGCAACTGGGTATGTGCCAGGTTGATGGGGAACCAAACCTGCCACCGTTTCGTCTAAAGGACAGTTCTAACCAACTGAGCCATACCAGCGAGGGCTGAACTAAATAGTACTAAATTCAATTCCCCAATTTATAGACCAGCAAAAAACTAATGCTAATACTACAGCCCATCTTACACTACTAATTTAGAGATAATTGTTTTAGAGATTAGCATCATGTTTATGATTCTCCCTTCTAGCGTATAATTATAGTAAAAATTTTGAACTCACTTGTCTTAGCTTTTTTTTTTAGCTTCTTGGATAGATATATCTTAAAGAAGAAGCTTTTCTCTTTTTTTTAATACAGGTTTTTATTACAGCAATATACCAAATTCAGTAACAGTTCTTGTTAGTTGGCCAAAGTAGCAGATAACCCAGTCTCAGTGGCTTACCACAATACAAGTTAATATCTTGCTATCATTACATACACCTGCTGCAGCTGTTCTCAGTCTGGGAGTGCATCTTTTTTTTTTTTTTTTTTTAATTTATTGATTTCAGAGAGGAAAAAAGAGGGAGAGAGAGATAGAAACATCCATGATGAGAGAGAATCATGGTGGATCGACTGCCTTCTGCAATTCCCCCACTGGGGATCGAGCCCACAACCTGGGCATGTGCCCTTGACCAGAATCGAACCTGGGACCTTTCAGTTCGCAGGCCAACGCTCTATATTCACTGAGCCAAACCGGCTAGGGCTGGGAGCGCATCTTGATGCCTCCCCTCCAAACAGTGATTCAAAGACCCAGGCTCCTTACATCTTGTGACTTTTCTCTAGTATGTGGCTGCCCTGGGAATGGGCTCCATTCCAGCCAGACAGCCAGGGACCGAGCAGGGGGAGCCATGCAGGGGAGGTGTATGAGCCAGGCCTGCAGGAGGGGAGCTCCGCCCTCATCCGTGGCTCACATTCAGCTTTACAGCCACGTCTCACTGCAAAGGAGGTTGGTGATGTAATACAGCTCTGCAACCATGATCTAGGCCAGGCTCTTCTGCTGTTTCACCCTCCGAGGTCCGGAGGCTGCAAACCAGCTTTCTGAGAAGGGGAAATGACGGTGGCAGTGGCAAGGGAGGGATGCTGTGCTTTCCTGGTCTCCAATCTCCCCGTCTCTGTCCCATTGCGGTTTGCTATCTTTTACCAGAGGGTGAGCTCCTTGTCTCCAACCTTTGATTATGGGAGTAGAAGTCTCATAATATCCTGAAGAAAAGAATTTTCTAAGTCTCGCATGGGAGAATGAGTGATTTTTTTTATTTGCATGGAATTAATTCCTTGAATTTCAAGGTTCCATTTTCCTTAGTCCAGTCATAGGAGATGTGTAGCTGGGGGTTCAGCAGAGCTAAAATCAGAGCCAGTGTCCAGTTTCTTTTCCATGTTAGAGCCGAGTCTAGTCCAGCATCAGCTAGCTTAGCCCTTTCCTTCTGCAGTCCCTCAGTCCATTGCATGCGGCGTCTACATGGCTGTACGGGCAAATGCAAGAGGAACAAGAATAGCTTTGGGCACACACACCCCACCCTCCCACCCCCAGGAATTATTGCAACAGGATTATGTGGGCTTTCTCATCAGGCAAAATGTGAGCAGAACTAGGTGTGTTCTGACAAAACGAGAAGTGGAAATCCCAGAAAACAACATTTGTGCAATAACAGGGCAGTTCATCACCTTTCATTTCTTTAGAGAGAGTGGAATTCTCCTTAAAACAATTGTGCCCAGCAACTTAAATAGATGTGTTTCTTCAAAGACTATAAAGAAAATCTCTCAGAACTTTGCTCTGATTGTGTCACTCATAGCCCTCATTGGCATATTTTCAACACAAAAGAATGACTTACGTGGGCAAAGGGCTGTAGAGCAAGCATGTCAAACTTGTAGCTGGTGGGCTGTGAGTTTGACATGCCTGCTATAGAGTATGGCTTGTTAAGATGGAAGAAAAGTGCCCTGGCCAGTGTTGCTCAGTTGTTAGAGCATCAGATGGCACACCCAATGGTGGCAAGTTCAATTTTGGTCAAAGGCACATAACTGGGTTGTCCATTCCTCAGATCAGGGCACTCTCGGGAGGCAACCAATTGATGTGTCTCTTTCACATCAATATTTCTTTCTCCTCCATTCCCTCCTTCCACTTTGGAAAAGCAATGGAAAAAATATCCTCAGGTGAGTATTTAAAAAAAAGATTGAAGAAAAGTAATATTTAGTGGTACAAAACCTGTTTCACTTATTGTCAGAAATCTGAATAGTATATTTATTTATTTATTTTTTTATTTTTTTATTTATTTTTATTTTTTTTTGTGGTTGTTTTGTTTTGTAATTTGTTAATCCCCACCCAAGGGTATTTTTCAGATTCAAATCCTATCCCCAGTCAGGGTATGTAGGGGAGACAACCAGTCTGTGTCTCTCTCACATTGATTTAATCTCACTCTCTCTCTCCCTTTACCTTCTTCCCTCCCACTCTCTCTAAAAAATCAATGTGGGGAGAGAAAGAGGGGTCAATGGGGAAAATAAGGAAGCATATGTAATACTTTGAACAATAAAGAATTATTTTTTTAAAAAGAATTTTTAAAAATGGAGAAACTGTCCTCAGGTGAGGATTAATTAAAAAAAAAAATTCTTCAGACCTTAAATCTCTTAGCAAATATGGATTAAAATTAAAAATTTGAAGAAACATTAATTGAAGTATTATATGAAGTATTTTCTTTCACTCTGTCATTATGAAGAAGCCATTTTAGTGTATAACTAAAAGCTATAAGTTTGGGTAGAATATATACAGGTTTTCATTTATGACTAGAAAGTGGGTACAATTTCTAAAATAGGATTTTAATGTATAGGAAATGTTATCTTCTTTTTGTCATGTTTTTCTAAAAAAACAAAAAAACAAAAACAAAAAACTTCTACAGGAGCAGTTTGCTTGGACTTCAGTCTTTACCCAAAAAATTTTATTTCATGGCTTCTGAGAAGTTTTTGTCTATCATTAAGTAGGGTGAATCTTACCACTATCAACAGTAATCCTTGAGTTTCCCCCACTATAAGCTGGGGGGAAAGGGGACACACGACGTGTTTTCTTGTGAAAGGATCAGAGCCTTTGATGATCTAGTTTGTGGTGTATGTTTATATGTTTATTATTGCTTCATTTTACAACCAAAAACGATAGCTTTGTGCAGTGGTGGCCAACTGGTGATCTGTGGACCACTGGTGGTCCATGAAGTCCGAAGGGTTGGCGACCGTTGACTTAGAGCATTGTTTCCCAAAAATGATAGCAAAAGGCGCTTCTTTTAAAAAGCGCCCTGGTTCAAATATATTTCTGCAGTTTGCATATGTTCTCTCTCTCTCTCTCTCTCTCTCCCCCTCTCTCTCTCTCTCTCTCTCTCTCTCTCTCTCGTAACAATGAGCATTAACTTGAGATAATAATGGAGGTTGGAAACGAAGGACCGAATATCTATTTAGATAGTGATGGCCAAAGGGAAGGGGCACAGGCTGGGTGGAGGTGGGCAAAGGAAGGGGAAATGGGGACATCTGTAACAGTGTCAACAATAAAAATAAATTTTAAAATATATCTATTTAGAGAAACAGTTTCACAGATCAAACATTAAGAAATACTGACTTGCCCTGGGCAGTGTTTCTCATTGGTTAGAGTGTCGGCCCAAGCATGGAAGTCAGGTTTGATTCTGATCAAGCGCACATACCTGGGTTGCAGGTTCCATCCCCAGGCCCCAGTCTGGATGTGTGCGGGAGGCAATTTGTCTCTCTCACATTGTTGTTTCTCTCCCTCCCTTTCTCCTCCACATCCTCCCTTCTCTTTTCCCCCTCAATCTTCCCCTCCTTCCTTCCCAACCACTCTAAAAATCAATTGGAAAAATATCCTCGGGTGAGGATTAACAAAAAAAGAAAAAGAAAGAAATGCTGGCTTAAAGTGTTATTTTAAGAATGATTTTGCTTCCTTTCTTTTCATGCTTTGTCTTGTTTTAACTGTGAATAATTCTGACACGAAAATCTACCCCTTCCTGTTGCCTTTTATTGTGCCATGTTGGACATGCTTCATGACTGTACTAGAAACATTTCGGTGATTTTCTCTCTTTATATTGGCAAATAAGTCCGGTGTTTTCTGTGACATTTAGCAACAATGCTTGTTTGGTCAGGATTTCCTTTGGCCTCACATTGTAATGTCTCTCTGGTCCCACTGGAATGAATGAGAATAGCCGATTAGCCTAAACTGTGTTTACTGTAAGGTAGGGAGTTGTTCTTTCTAACTCCTCTGATCTCTGCTTCCACAGGCCTGTCATCTTTGCTTCAGAGTGTCACTGGGAACCCCGCTCCAGCCAGTGAAGCTGCTTCCCAGAGCACTTCGGCTTCCCCTGCCAACACCACTACAGTGTCTAACGTAAAAGGGAGAAATCTGCCCTCCAATACCCAGTCCTTCATTCCCAAGAGCTTCAACTATTCTCCTAACTCATCGGCATCTGAAGTCTCTTCAACTTCAGTCAGCAAGGCCTCCATGGGGCAAAGCCCAGGGCTTCCAAGCACTACATTTAAGCTGCCGTCCGCCTCTCTGGGGTTCACAGGCGCCCACAACAACAGCCCTGCTGCCCCGCCTCCTGAAGTTGCCATGTGCCAATCTTCAGAGATCTCCAAGCCAAAGCTGGAGTCCGAGTCCACCTCCCCAAGCCTGGAAATGAAGATCCATAACTTCTTAAAAGGTAATCCTGGTTTCAGTGGCTTAAACTTAAACATCCCAATCCTGAGCAGTCTGGGGTCCAGTGCCCCGTCAGAAAGCCATCCCGCAGACTTCCAGCGTGGCCCTACTAGCACTTCAGTGGACAACATTGACGGAACCCCTGTGCGGGATGAACGCAGTGGGACGCCCACCCAGGATGAGATGATGGACAAGCCCACGTCCAGCAGTGTAGATACCATGTCCCTGCTCTCTAAGATCATTAGCCCTGGTTCTTCAACACCCAGCAGTACGAGATCACCACCCCTGGGGCGAGAGGAAAGCTACCCCCGGGACCTCTCCAATTCTGTACCGACATTTCGACCCTTTGGCCTGGCCAGTGAACCGCCCTATAAGCAGCCTTCTGATGGAATGGAGAGACCATCTTCCCTGATGGACTCTTCCCAGGAGAAGTTCTATCCAGATACTTCTTTCCACGAAGATGAGGATTACCGAGATTTTGAGTACTCAGGGCCTCCACCTTCTGCCATGATGAACCTAGAGAAGAAACCAGCCAAGTCTATCCTGAAATCCAGCAAGCTTTCCGAGACTGCCGACTACCAGCCAATCCTGTCCAGTTACAGCCACAGGGCCCAAGAATTCGGGGTAAAGTCTGCCTTCCCTCCAGCTGTAAGGGCCCTCCTGGACTCTAGTGAGAACTGTGACCTCCTCTCACCTTCCCCGGGGCTGTTTGGTGCCTTCAGCATCAGAGGGAATGAGCCTGGGTCTAACCGGTCACCGTCACCGAGTAAGAACGATTCCTTTTTCACCCCCGACTCCAACCACAATAGCTTGTCTCAGCCTGCCGCTGGGCACCTCAGTTTGCAGCAGAAGCAGTACCCAGACTCTCCTCACCCGGTCCCACAGCGTTCCCTTTTCTCTCCGCAGAACACCCTTGCTGCTCCCACGGGCCTCCCGCCCGCATCGGGCGTGGAGAAAGTCCTGGCCTCCACCATTTCCACCACGTCGACGATTGAGTTTAAGAACATGCTTAAAAACGCCTCCCGAAAGCCCTCGGACGATAAGCATTTTGCCCAGGCCCCCGGCAAGGGCTCCTCCGGTGACGGGGTCAGTCTCTCAAACCTCCCCCAGCCCAGCCTGCCGGCCACGGAGCAGCAGCAAGAAGAGCACTACCACCGCATCGAGACCCGCGTGTCCTCCTCCTGCCTGGACTTGCCGGACAGCACGGAAGAGAAGGGCGCCCCCATAGAAACCCTGGGTTACCGTAACGCAGCCAACAGGAGGATGTCCGGGGAGCCCATCCAGACCGTCGAGTCCGTCCGAGTTCCTGGGAAGGGGAATCGAGGACACGGGCGCGAGGCCTCCAGGGTGGGCTGGTTTGACCTGAGCTCCTCGGGCAGCTCTTTTGACAACGGCCCCTCCAGCGCCTCCGAGTTGGCGTCCCTTGGGGGTGGGGGCAGCGGAGGCCTCGCTGGCTTTAAAGCGGCACCATACAAGGATCGGGCACCCCCGTTTCAGGAAAGTGTCGGCAGCTTTCGCTCCAACAGTTTCAACTCGACATTTGAGCATCATCTCCCCCCGTCCCCCTTGGAACACGGGGCGCCCTTCCAGAGGGAGCCCGTGGGGCCGGCCGCTGCCCCGCCCGCCCCTCCCAAGGATCGCGGTGGTGTCTTCTCCCGAGACGCAGCCGCTCACCTGCCCTCTGTGGATCTCTCGAACCCCTTCACCAAGGAGGCCGCCTTGGCCCATGCCGCCCCGCCCCCCCCTCCTGGAGAGCACGGCGGAGTTCCTTTCCCCACCCCGCCCCCTGCAGCCCCCGGGGAGCACAGCAGCAGCGGAGGGAGTGGTGTCCCCTTCTCCACTCCGCCCCCTGGTGACCACTCGGGGGTGGTGCCCTTCCCAGCCCCCCCACTGGCAGAGCACGGAGCGGCAGGAGCAGTGGCAGTGTTTCCCAAGGACCATAATTCTCTCCTTCAAGGGGCCTTGGCTGATCATTTTGGGGTGCTCCCAGGACCCAGGGACCATGGGGGCCCCACCCAACGGGACCTCAACGGCCCTGGCCTTAGCCGTGTGCGGGAGGGCCTGAGCCTGCCCTCCCACTCTCTGGAGCACCTGGGCCCGGCCCATGGCGGCGGTGGGGGAGGCAGCAACAGCAGCGGCGGCCTCCCCTTGGGCCCCTCACACAGAGACATCATCAACCGGAGCGGTCTGGTTTTGCGGAACCCCCGGCCAGACTTCCGGCCTAGGGAGCCTTTTCTCGGCAGAGACCCGTTCCACAGTCTAAAGAGACCCAGGCCGCCTTTTGTTAGGGGCCCTCCGTTCTTTGCACCAAAACGCCCATTCTTCCCTCCCAGGTACTGACGAGACCAAGGGAAAGGCATTCGGAACAGTCTAGAGAGCGTTGGAAGTAGGAGTTTGGTTTATTGTTGTTTGTTTTCCCTCCTTTGATTTATTTCTCTATGACCAAGGGCCTCCCTTCCAGAGTGAAAAGTCATATATCTATGCTTACATTTCACTGTCCCACCCAGGCCTCCCGCCCACTGCACTTACCTACCTTCCCCGCGTTGTCTGTATCTTAGGGGGGTGGAGGGGAGCAGGCAAAGGAACACAACCAAAGCCACCTCCTTTGGCTGGGAGCTTGAGGGACGGGGAGGAAGACAAATATTACCCCATCTATTGAAGAGTATTCTTGCATTTGAAATAAAACTTCCACCAGTACAGATGATAATGTGCAATGTTGGGATGTTTTGGGTTTGGCTTATCAGTAGTCCATGGAAGGGTTCCTGCCCCCTTCTCTCTCCAGCTACCTTCACTGCTGTCCCCAGCTTGGCTCCCTTCCCTGTGTCTGCCCTGCTGACAGCCAGAGCTGGTGCGAGGGAGGAGATGCGGGAGGTCTCGGAGCTGTCACGCTGTTGTTTTGTTTTGTTCTGAAAGGCATGTGGCAGTTGAGCACTTTACCTTTCTCCTCAGATCTTACCAACAACACAGCCTCTTCTTCCAAAGCACCAGCAGGCCTAACTGAGGAGATCTCCTTCTGTCCTGGAAACATTTTTCCTCTTTGTTTTTGGAATGAAAGAGAGCAGGCTGAATATATTTTGAGGTTAAAATTCGGAGTAATTATAATTACAGTAGTTAGAGAAAGGAACTCTAGCAGTGTGTTGTGACCTGCCATCCTTCATAAACGAGAGAGAATGGGAAATGTTTTTTGAGAAGTTTCACTCTTATACCCAGCTCTTCTTTCTTTCTTGGCTCTCTCTCAGCTTTCGCTTCTGCTGCGGCCAGAAAGCCGCTCCTGTTGACAGTTGTTACAAAGGTGGAACTGTACTGTTGTCTCTGTTTTAATGTAATTAGTAGACATGTTTACTATGGCGCCTCCCAAGCGTAGGTGGTATTTGTTGGCCATTTCAGCAAAGGTTAACTACCAGGGAAAGGCAATTCATTGTCTTTTATCTTTCCTTTCCCCTCGCCATGCTCCTGTATTCACCCCATTCTTGGTGTTTATTTCACAGAAGGTTCAATAGCATCTTTCTTTCCATTACACCTCTTCAGATGTGTCCTACCAACAAGTGAGTATTACTAGACATATTTTTTACAGAGGAACTGGAGAACATGAGAAATCCAAATTTACCCACTCCATACTAGCTGCCCATCACTTATCAAGGCTCAAGCCTTCTCCTCACTTCCCACTCGCAGTAGGAAATCAAGGATGTTTCTGCTCTTCTTAGTCATGTCACATAGAAAGCTCTCTTCCCCCTGAACTGAAAGGCTTATGTGTGTTTTCACAGAGAGTACTCGGGAAAAGACAATCACCGCACTTTGAGTGTTTATATCTTTATATTTTAGGGACATTGAAAAGCAAATGTGTTACTATTTGTTACTTAGTGTCTTGTCCTAAGGTACACACACGGGTAAAGTCCAGCTAGATGAGTAAAATAATCTGAGTTGAGTGTTGTAAGGAATCCGGGTAAGTTTTCTATGTTCTCCAGGTTAGTATGGAACCACGGGAAGTGTGGGATTGCTTTGGATTCCTGCAGTGAAATACTAAAGGCGGGAGAGAGGACAATGGAGTGACAGAAGGTGATGCTTTGTCTCAAAATAAACTTGCTTTTCAGATAAAGAGCAGCTTACACCAGGTGTGTGTGTCAGAGGCTGGGAGCTCTCTGTAAGTTATTCCATGTTATTTATTTGGGCTTGCTATGTGTACTGGGGTTAGGATGCTGCCAGGCATTCATCTCCCTGATGCATTTCTGGTCCTGGGCCAACTAACTGTTCTTTCTTCCTTTGACACTCTCAAGCCTTTCTGCCCTGTGGCTCTCCCACACACAAAAATGCATGATACCATGACCTTGAATGTGGGATGGGGTATATAGTGTAGCAAAGCAAAGAAACAGTATCGTTTCATTGAGTCCTCAGACATTTGTTTAGGAACATGTATAAGTAGGCAGTGAGGGTGGGGAGGGGGAGTTCTATTTGACAACTGAAATACAATTTTTTTTTTATTTTTTTTTTTGCAGAAATTAAGGGGGATGTGTTCACTCTAGAACAAAAGAATGTGAATTCTTTCTTGCTGCTCTTGTTTAAACTAAAAGTAGTATTTACTTGAAAAGGCTCTCTGACCTTTTGGTTTCTTAAGAAAATACGGGGATGTCAGGAAAGTGGCTTCCTGAACACTGAGGCAGAATAATTGTCCTCAGAAGTATGATGGCTAATCCATGAAAGGAAGACCTTGTACAGTTTTAAAGATGGACTTTTAAGGGCTGGCTTTCTTTTGTGGGCTGTTTTGTTTTTTAAGCCGCAAAATCCTCCAAGCGCCTGTTTCAGGACAGGAGGGAGGATTTGTGTGGCTTTGAGCTGTTCACTTTAAGGAACTCTGTCCACAGCAGTAAACGAAGATGACAATGTACATATGTGATATAGTGACACAAAAGACAATTCTGGTATTCATAACATGAAACAAAGGGGTTTCATTCTTTCTGTGTCTGTGATTTCAAGCTCCGTGCCCGTGCTCTGACTTTTGTATTTCAACCTGAGTTTAAAAAAATAAACAAGGTATTTTTTAAAGAAAGCATAACATAGTGTGTTTTGGAAAGGACATGATTCACGTGAGAGCAGAATATGCAAAGTTGTCGCTGAGGTCCTTGGTGCTCACTGTAAAATCACAGACAGAGAATTGGCGGGGTTTGTGAATACACCAGTTCCACTGAAGTCTCATACCGCGTCAGAAACGAGAGTCCTTACGTAGTTTGTACGTTCACTCCGCGGTGAGCTCAGAAGGAAGCTTTCCTGCTTCTGCCCTCCCACATGTGGAGAGGAAGCAGAATCTGGTTTGATTCCAGGGAGGGTAAAATGATCAGAGAGTAGGACTTCGATCCTTTCCAATCCCAGGGATACAATGTTTGTGATATATATGGTACAGCAAACCTATTTAGATAATGTGAATATGCTAAACTTCCTAACTGCAGAATATTCACTATTTCCTGAAATTACTGGTTCATGCAGAATTAAGCTTCAGCTGTTAATTGTTTTGAAGCCGCTGTAAATTACTGCTTTTTCCATCTTTTTCTTCCCCTCCTCCTCCCCCCCCTTTTTTTTTTTTGAATGGGCAGGGGTGCCTGTTAAAATTAAAATTAGATATGTTCTATTGATATTCTCACGTGTTCAGTGTGGAAAACAAAACAAGTACATGCTTTAGAGGCAACAACATTGAAATCCTTTTGAAATGTGTATTACCACTTAATAAAATAACTAGTTCTCAAGGTTTGACATTTTTCTTTGAGATTTGGGGCTTTAACCAAGGGCCCTGACTTCTCTGGTGAGAGCAGAGAGTAGGAAGCTTCTCCAGGAGCTGAGCTTGCTGCTTCGTGGCGAAGGCCTTCCTTGGAATATCGTCTTTTTCTCCAGCAAAGACGCTACATGACTGTCCAGGGCTGAAGGTGAAACCAACCACAGGATGCAAAGAGAAAAGCCTGGATACATCTCTGAAGATCTGCTCAGATTGGCTTTGATCTGAGAGTGTGGGAAAAGGGATGGTGGGTGTGTCTGCAGACCACCATCTCATCCCTCCCTGTGACCATGTGCACCTTCCTCTCTCAGCCATTCCTTTCTGTCTGTCTGTCTCCGACACTGTGTGTGTTTTCCAGTTTAATAAAGTATGGTTTCTTTGTGGTGTGGCTCTTCCCCTCACATTGATCTTGTCCAGCTGTCCCGTCTGACTCCTGCACTTGGTGTGTCTGAGGCAGTTGGAATCTCTAAGGAACTCATGCCGTGTGGGTTTTGTTTGTTCCTTTGTGTAATTCCGTTTTGGAAAGGGATTTTGGGTGGGGTGGGATCAAAGATGTACAGGGAGTGGCTGGTGGTGAAGTGGGCTATATGTATGGCTAATTATTTGTGTATGTCTCCAACAAGTACAACTGTGAGCAAAGAAGCATTTTTAAAAGCAAGCTTAGAATTTGGGGAGGTGACAGGAGTCCCCTGGCCACTTCTGTGCCCGCATCTACCCTTTGCTGCTGCATATTGGCAATCTGTCAGAAACCACACAACCCTTCCCTTTTGCCCCATCCCTTTTCCATGACCCACAGAGGCTTAAGGAATGGAATGTGGGCACTCAGGGGTAGAGAGAGTCACACAGGCATCTCGGTCAGGCCTGGGTCACTGGCAGGATAGATGCTCTAAATAGCAGCCTTGGTGATGTGAGGCTGCACACGTCACCAGAAATGCAGCACGCCCAGCAGGTAGGGTGAACCGCTGACCTGACTGCCTCAGCCGCTGGGGTCTGGGTCACCCTTTCTTCCTTGTCCCCTTGGGACCTGGACTTGCCCACCTGATTCTTGTCTCCACCCTTTCTCATCGGCCTTTCCGGGCATGTTGGAAATGGATCCTTCCCCCGAATTGGGATTAGGAGAGTCTGGCACAGGAGGGATGAGTTACTCCTGCATGTACACAGATACAGTAACACAAACGCCATCCGCATGGATTTAGGGTACTGGGTGTTTCTCATACTTGTTTATGAGTAACTGTATAGACAAGTCGGGTCAGCTGCTGCTCGCAATTGCTGAGTAATAACTCACAGGCCTAACAAAGCTGCTGCAGGGACATGAGTGAGCCTGGGCTCCTAAGTAAACATCCTGCTACCCCCCACTTAGAAGGAAAAACTGCATGAATCAGGTTAAAAGAGCAAGTCAAGTGCAATGTAAAACCATCCGATTCAGACTGACTGGGGGGTGGGGGGAGGGAAGAACAGGAGGAACCTCTTAGGTTTAGTTATGCGTCAGAGGAAGGGGGTACAAAGGCTGCGATCTATGTAAAAACTGACACTGCAGTTACCTTACAGTTCCCCGGTTCCCTTATTTTCTCCTTTCCCTTTGTGCTCACTGTGGCAAGAGTCAAAAATTGAGAATACAGATGTAGGTGGCAGGGCTAGTGAGCAGTGCCAACAGAGAGAACACCATTCAGGCCTCTATTTTTTTGTGTTTGACTCAAAGGGGTGTTGGCTAAACCAGTCCACCCCGGACCTGTTGGGGTTCATAGCAAATTCAATGTTCCAGCAACTTCACTTCCTTGTTTTTATTACTTCCTTATATTTCTCCTTATGTGTTTTTTAAACCTCACCGAAGGATTTGTTTACTGATTTGAGGAAGAGCAAGAGAAATATCGATGTGAGAGAGAAACAGATTGGTTGCTTCATACCCGTTCCAACCAGGAATCAAACCCATAACCTAGGTATATGTCCTGACAAGAAATCAAACGCAAAATCTTTTGGTGCATCTGACAAGGGCTCCCTGCCCCCCCCCTTTTTTTTTTAATAATGGAGAGGGATAGAGAGAAACATCGATGAGAGAGAAACATCAATTGGCTGCCTCCTGCATGACCCCCACTGGGGATTGAGCCCACAACTGAAATACATGCCCTTGAGCAAATTCAAACCTGGGACCCTTCAGTCCAAAGGTCGATGCTCTATCCACTGAGCAAACCTGGCCAGGGCAAGGACTCCCCTTATTTTTGAGAATTACTTTGCTGCATAATTTATGGGGAAGAGATGAGGACTCGAGACTTCTTAGTTTGTCTTGGGGTGATTCAGTTGAAATGCATGTGCTTCAGTTTTGCCCTCCCCTGGCTACAATTCTTTGCACCTACATGAGACAGTTCAGGTCCCACATCTAGGCAG